TGGGGCATTTTTTCGATTATATACAGGGTTTTGAAATTATAGGCAAAAATCTAAAAGACCTAGAAAATTGTTTTTTTACAGAGTAAATTATTAGCCCCAAATCAAAAATCGTAAAAAATATGGCTAATTGGTTCAAACGGTGTCATAGTGTCATAGTGTCATAGTCACAGTTTTCGTCACATGCGCTGCTCGGGATATATGAAAAAATCCATATTGAAATCTTATTTTCTCGAACACCATTTACTATTTTCAAAAAATTCTTGAACCAGGAAACGTGGAAAATACAGGGCTATAACCTCTACTTCGAACAATGATTGTACCATATACAGGGTGTGTCGTTTATGGGCAAAAAACCTAAAATATCGCAAAAATTTCCGTTTTTGTGGGTAAAGTATTGGCGATAAATGAAAAAGCGTTAAAGATGGGATAATTTTATTTGAACAGTATCGTAAAGCGTGTCGTGAGAGAGTTTCAGGTTTCGTGAATTATACGGGGCGCCAGATATTTGAAAAAATATCATTCGACAACGCTATTTTTGCTGTAACTTCGAAGTTCGACGAGATGTGAAGGACATTTTATACAGGGTGCATGCACAATTAAATTAAATCGATTTTCCATAGTGGTCCGCGGGAGCACGATATAAAAACAATGCGTTTCCTTTTATAATATAAAGCTGCTTCGCGCTACGCGCTACGAACTTGCCCTGCTCAGTACCGATTCTTCGAAAGCAAGCTTGTTGCCTTTGTTGCTCGTTCTCTCACCTCCACCTCAATATCACTATATCGCTATAACCAAAAATGATAATACCAATAGTTTAGGGCCTATATTATTCAAAATAAATTAGAACTAAAAGTTCAGATTTTCACGAAATTATATATTTTCATATGACAATTGTTTCGACAACAAATTTGGGAAAGACACTATGTTGTTATTTATTTTGTTAAATGGATTTTCATCAAGTAAAAGCCACCTCAGTTCAACCAATATTATTCATTCTTGATTTTGCGGGCGACCAGGTTTCCTTATACGTCACCAAGTGCACAAATATCATCGCTTGCAAATTGACAGTTCGAAATACGTTCAAGTAGAACGACACACACGCGTCTTTACTCCCTTGTTCAATCGTAAACCGTAAAGACCGCTGAAATTACTAGGTAACAGTGTTTATCATGTCAGAAGCGGCCAACTATTATCAAATTAAAGTGTAGCATGCAGAAATAGTGAGACACTCGCATTAATATTGCAGCAACCTCGACGTCGAAGTTTTCAAAGACTGCGGGTCGTTTGTTTAAAAATTACTGTTACTTAAATGTTGATGAGAATAAGTCAGTTTTAAATCAAATCGGGCATTCATTGATAAAATTTATTATTGCTTTTGAGTTGGAGCCGATTTGAATAATGTTACCATGGAAAAAGTGAACAAATGCGTTTTTCTACACCTTCCTGTTCTAATTCTCCATCTACCTCGGTCATTCCATTCCCCTATTGTTAATATGACATTCTCACACCGACTTGAAAATCCCTTGTATCCAATATTTTGGTCCTCCTCCTTTTTATGATTTATGGAGACTCCAGCCCATTACTAATTTGGGAATTCTTTCTGTTGTTTCTTTGATACGGCCAAACCACTTGAGTTGCCTATAGTCGATATTTTCAACAGCTTCCATGGGAAATCCATTTCTGTTGTCCCAAGTTGTTATTTGTGTTGTTCATTTAATTGCCGTATTTATATAGCATTATATTCTACGATTGTATTATAAGTAATATTTAATAATTAGATCATAGAATGGAGTTTTGCCTTCTTGCCTTCATTATTAAGTCTGAAACTTCCTTTTTGCTTCTGCCCACGGTATCTATTTTAACTCCAAGATATATATTCCTTGCAACCTTCTATGGATATGCTGGTTTTCAGCATCCCATCGTCCTCCTACGTAAATACACTTAGTTTTGTCCTATAATTTTCATTAGCCATATTTAAGAAGCCCTGCTGGAATTCCTTGAAAACCACTTGTTTTCCCATTTTTTAATGAGCTTAGGGCCCTATCGGATTTCGTGGAATGGTCTTGCTTTTATTTATCGTGATATTGATTTTGATATTTTGATTAGATGTTAGGGTATTTATACCTCGCCAAGTCTTTATGGATCTGCTACCTGGTCCCCGATTTATTCCCAAACTATGCAGGGCAAGTTTTTGGGCAAAGCTACATCGCGGTTTTTCTTCCAAAGAAATTATTAAAAGAACCAAAAAGCAATTAAGGCGTACCGCCAAAAAATAGACCATTAAACGCAAATTTAATTCTTTTCGTCGCAGAAGAAACGCTTCGGTAGGCAGACACATTGCTGCCTAGTCGACGTCGATATCCAAGTTCTAGCGTCAAGAGCGACTAAGAAGAGATTACACCTTAATTGCACAATAAAGTTTAATTAATTTATTTCGAATCGCGGAGTTGTTTTAATTCCCGCGGATTATCCGTGATCGACGGAAAAAGTTAATTGAACGCGGAACGGGATTACTCATCGCTGCAGGTACTTCTGAGACCGTTGAGCGATATTGAGCCTCTTAAATTGTTGAATTATCCCAATGAAAGATTAAGACCGATCCGATCTGCGGTGTTTTTAGTCATTCTATTGTGCCGATCGAGGCTTTTGCTGGTAATTATTCGAAGCCCCGGTTGTTTTCTTATTTTATAAAACTTTTAAAATGGTAGAATATCGAAATTTGTACTAACTTCCTATAATAAAAGATGAGAGATATAAATCTTATGATTTGAAAACTACTAGCCTATTTTAAGCTTAACAGCAATGCAGTTTTGTAGAAGTTTATTAGTTAAGCAAACCCTCATTAACTCGTTCGTGCCAAATCACCAAGATTTTTACATAGCATTAGGAGAAAATTCAAAAGTATCAGAGGATGCTGAGCGTAATTAAAGCTTCTGAAGAGCAACAAATTACTGTATGCGCAAAACCCGCACTGGAGTGTTGGATATTGCTTGTATAATGTTAAAAGCCGAGCACACACTAGTTTTTCCAAGCACGCTTATGCAAGACGCTCTAGCCTAAGTATCGCATATTCAAATCTTTAAATTTAAAATTGCTGTAAGCATATTGAAAACTACTGCTTGATTAAAACTCCTGTAGACCTGTAAGTCACTCATTCAATGCACATTGAGGATTATTGCTGAGCTCAAGTTGCCATAAAGCCGTAAAGGTCATTGCTTGTATATGCAAGTTTTGTTGCTTAATTAAAGCTTCCGGAGAGCCACAAATTACTATCTGCACACAACCCTCACTGGAGTGTTGGATATTGCTTGTACAATGTTGAAAGCTGAACACACACGAGATTTTTCAAGCACCCTTGTGCAAAATGCTCTTGCCTAAATATTGCACATTCAAATTCGTAAATTTAAAAGTGGTGTAAGTATATTGAAAACTATTGCTTAATTAAAACTCCTATAGACCTGTAAGTCAGTCACACGACGCACATTGAAGATTATTGCTGAGCTCAAGTTGCCATAAAGCCGTAAAGGTCATTGCTTGTATATGCAAGTTTTGTTGCTTAATTAAAGCTTCCGGAGAGCCACAAATTACTATCTGCACACAACCCTCACTGGAGTGTTGGATATTGCTTGTACAATGTTGAAAGCTGAACACACACGAGTTTTTTCAAGCACGCTTGTGCAAGACGCTCTTGCCTAAATATTGCACATTCAAATTCGTAAATTTAAAATTGGTGTAAGCATATTGAAAACTATTGCTTAATAAAAACTCCTATGGACCTGTAAGTCAGTCACTCGACGCACATTGAGGATTATTGCTGAGATCAAGTTGCCATAAAGCTGTAGAGGTTATTGCTTAGGCGGAACCTTAAGAAAAGACGGTCGCTCAGAAAAGTCGAGCTGGTTTTTGTGCGATTCGTGAAAGGGACCAGGACTAACCAAGCTCGGAGATCATTCAGTGGAAACTGTTTTTCCTTTGGAAATGCAGCAGCTTAACAACAAAAAGTTTAGTAGTAGTTTACTATCTAAGCAAAACCCTCACATGACTTTGCCTCGTTCGTGCCAAACGACCAAGATTTTTACATAGCATTGGGAGAAAATTCAAAAGTATCAGAGGATGCTGAGCGTAATTAAAGCTTCTGAAGAGCAACAAATTACTGTATGCGCAAAACCCGCACTGCTTGCTTGTATAATGTTAAAAGCCGAGCACACACAAGTTTTTCCAAGCACGCTTGTGCAAGACGCTCTAGCCTAAGTATCGCATATTCAAATCTTTAAATTTAAAATTGGTTTAAGCATATTGAAAACTACTGCTTAATTAAAACTCCTGTAGACCTGTAAGTCACTCATTCAATGCACATTGAGGATTATTGCTAAGCTCAAGTTGCCATAAAGCCGTAAAGGTCATTGCTTGTATATGCAAGTTGTGTTGCTTAATTAAAGCTTCCGGAGAGCCACAAATTACTCTCTGCACAAAACCCTAACTGGAGTGTTGGATATTGCTTGTACAATGTTGAAAGCTGAACACATGCAAGTTTTTTCAAGCACGCTTGTGCAAGACGCTCTTGCCTAAATATTGCACATTCAAATTCGTAAATTTAAAATTGGTGTAAGCATATTGCTTAATCAAAACCTTCGTAGATCTGTAAGCAATGCTCAATGCACATTGAGGATTATCACTGAGCTCAAGTTGCCATAAAGCCGTTATTGCTTAGGCGGAACATGAATAAAAGACGGTCGCTCGGAAAAGTCGACCTGGTTTTTGTGCGATTCGTGAAAGGGACCAGGACTAACCAAGCTCGGAGAGCATTCAGAGGAAACTGTATTTCCATTGAAAATGCAGCCGCGGAGGCGGCTCGCTATAAATTTCAACGAAGCGGGGAGAAACCGAGTTTCGGATTAAAAAAAAATGGAGCGCATGTCAACGGTTCAATGGCGCTATCGAGTAGCTCAACAAACTTTGAGTTTTCCGAAACGCCGTCCGTCAGTTGATGCCGTCGCGACGGTCGTGTAGGACGTCGTAGCTTTTGCGTTTGCGCCGCGCTAGATATACGTAGCGTATCGCAAGGAGTGAAGATCAGATTTTTGGCGGTCGGATTCCCGGTCGAGTGTTTAAATCCGAATTTATTTGATACCGATGTGAATCGCGCTCGTTTCAGGAAATATTCAGGTCGGATTTTCGGGGGTGGGGGAGGTCGACACTTATGCGGAAAATGTTCTGTTCCTCAAGCTAAAATTTAAGATGACGCATACGGTCTACGTGTGGAGTTTCCTTTTTGTTTTCGTCGCTGGTAAGTCGGTCATTTTTAATTTACTTTTTTTTTCATTGATTTTTTTTTTAAATTGAGATATTTGTATATTTTTCATCATTTTGTAGGATGAAAGACGAACAAGTTCCATTCCATCGCAACACTTAAATGATTAAAAACGAGAGAAACAAAAAATATTGTAAAAATATAAAAAATTGCACAAAATGAAGCACCATGTTTGTTTATTAAAGAATAAACAAATATTAGTAATAAAATACCAAGTAAAATTTAAACAGAGTGTTTTTTTACTAATTATTAGAAACTAAGAACAATTTTAGTCTGAAGTTAATTAACGTATTTATTTAATTTTAATATAAATTATACATTGTTTTTACTTGATAAAAATCCATTTAACAAAATAAATCAGTACTAAAATTCCAGATTTTCACGAGATTATATAGAGAAAATTACAACAAAGAACTTAATATCATTAAAAAAATTGCACTGAACAATGTCGACAATCCGTCCATTATCGATAGAATTATAAATAAAAAACAAATCCAGACAACAGTAGACTCTATTTATCCGAAACCAAATACAGAACACGAACAATTTAAAACAATTACAGACATAGGAGAGCCTAGTGAAAAAGTGGTTTAAAAATAGCTTTGAGAAATAACAACACAATAGGAAAATTTTTAAAAATCAATAAAACGAAATGTCCAAAATCTCAAAAATCAGGTATCTACAGGTTGAAATGCGGGTTACAAATTTTTGTATTGGACAAACAGGTACATCCTTCAAGAAACGCATTAAAGAACATAAAAGAGCGTTTAAAAACAATAGCCTAGCTTCTAATTATGCTACACACTTAAACACAGAAAAAGAGAGAAGCAATAGAGATTAACAAAACAAATGTATTGCTTAACGATCAATTAGATTTAAATACCTCTCCTTTATTGAACTTAAATTCTCAAAACAACATTAAATAAGGTTTCATTGTCATTTTTCGGTATATATAGTAGCAGGTAGTTTGTAAATATTACATTTGATAAAGACACGGTGTTGTCGAAACAATTGTCATGTGAAAATATATAATTTCCTGAAAATCTTTTAGTTCAAATTATACAGTTTTTCGTTATCCTTAAAATGTTTTGGAGTTTTTAGCACTATTCGAGTGGAATCGGTTTCTTAACTAATCGGCTATAAAAAAAAGGGCGTATGATTCTATTCGACGAAAGAAGAATTCTGAGTCTTCCGCAACTCTCGAGAACCTTACGAATGTCAATAATACTCAAGTCGTTAAATAAATAAAAAAAGAAACTGTTTCATTTTCACTACGCAAACATCCCGATAAATATCTGAAATACCGAATATAAACCACTGAATATTTCATAGATAACATAACCGCCCCATTTTTATTTTTGACAAATTGAAGATGTTTTTTTTCCGAAGCCGATAATTACGAGACGAAAACATTCATTCCATCGGCAATATTAAACTAAAAAATTCCGCCCCCGAGCAAGAAAAAAACGACCATCGTTTCGCCTTTTTTTTAACATGAAACAACTCCCGAATCTACCCCCAACTTCCGGACGTTGATGGAGTTTTAATGTGCAGACGCCTATAGTGTTTATGAATGTTTTATGTAAATTACATAGTCGATCCCTATCATTATGTTTACGTATATTTAAAAGTCCACTTTTTTTGGAAATCTATTTTCGTTGCCGAATTTCAACAGCTTTCTCTTTTTCCGAGAGGAAGTGGGGCAGGAAGTATCAAAAAACAACGAAAATTTTAGAATTTTTTATTTTCGTTTAATTTTCTAAACGAGTGACTACTGCCAAAAAATCATTTCAGCATACATATAAGAAGTTGGGTTGTGATAGTTAGTGATATTTGTACGTACAGCAATAGTCACACATTAATGCTTTCCTGTTGGATAAAAATGCAAAACCTACCTGTTTTCCAAAATGTAAAATAAGGAGAGAAACAAGTGAATGATTAAATTAATAACACCAAAAAACCATTTCGAAGTTATAATAGACTCCTTTCTCAAGTGGTTCTATGCCTACTAAGTTTGAGAAAGTTGAAACGCCGTGTTTTTTTGATCCATTATATGTCAAATAGAAAATACTCATTTCCGACATTCTCCTGCAACATTTTATCTTGTTATTCAGGCAACGGCGGTCGATCTTACGTAGCAGCCATCTCCTTACATAAAACATGAAGCTTATAGATTGCCTGTTGATACTGCAGCATCGGTTTAAATTTTTTTGCGCCCGGGTTTCGATGAAAACAACACAAAACGTTTCTTTGTTGCGACCTCGCATGAATACAGTACAAAGGAAAAGAATGAACGTTTTTCGACGCGGTTATTAAGTTTCGATTCATCCCGTACGGAAAGAACGGTCCAATATTCTTTTTGCCTGGCTCACCGCACACGGGATACTTTTAAAAAGAACTTCCATAGATATATATTTTCTAAAGAAATGCGCATCATAATACGCCTAGTTGTGAAAAATTTGGAAAACCTCGTTTGGAATGCGTTTTGTGGGACAAATTGAAACTTTTTAAAAGGTTCGTTGTGTTATGAAGCAAATTTTTCAGTATTCCTGCATGCCGAAAATTGGTATTAAATTTCGATTGATGTTTCGCGAGGTTTTATCTCGGGCAGGTAATTATTTGTGTCTCGCTGGTTGGTATTGTGATTTGTGATGCTAATTTAGTTGGCAATCAAAGAACAAAGTGGTCATTATTTCATATTAAATAGTTTACCGTTTGACGCTTATTTGTAAAAACACGGTAATATTTTAAAAATCGCTGTCTATTTTTAAATTAAAAACTAGACCACCAGTTGTTAATTTAAGTCAGCAACTGTTAGTTCTTTTGGAATATTCGTCGCTTATAAAATACAAGGAAACGTCAATGAAATGCTTTGTCCAAAACTTGTGGATTCTGGATTTGTAAAAAGTATTACATTAGCCTGTGGAAGTTTCTTTGAAAAGTCTTCTTTGAGGACGTCGAGACGACGACTCCCTACGTTAAAGTAATCATAAGTAAACCCAAGGGGCCGTCTAAACGACGTGAATATCCGAGACCCAGCGATCCGCGTCAACTTTTCAATCTTGATCCGAATTGAATTCCATTTAATTCAAAATTAAAGGTCTAAAAATCGATCATGCAAAAACCGCGATACGACAGGCGCGCCAGTGTGTGTTTATCTGCTTTCAAGCGAGGGTTAGTCACGATTGGTTGACTTCGTCCCCGGTCCGGTGACGAAATTTATTCCCTCTGTCTCGCGGACCTTTGGGCTTTAATTAATTGAGGATAAAAAAATCAATCCTTACAGTTGATTAAAACGTCCGCTCTCGGTCCGACAAAAAAAAAGAGGAAAGCGACATGGAATGCTAAAATGTTTCCCTGTACCGGCGGAATTTTCTGGAAAAGAACAACTCACCGGGAACGCACTCCTCCCTGCTTCCGGAAAATCCGGACTACCCCTTCGTCGGGAAAGTTAATCACGGGTTTATTCGGTCGCTTGTTTGGATAGAGACCCTATTTAAGGGGGGCATAAGTCAGTCACTGGATTAGTGTACAGGCGTGTTATCTAGCATCCAGACGCAATTACCATATGTAAATATGCAAATTGTTGTTGTCTAATAAGTTGGTAACGATTCGCATGCAGGTCCCGTCTTGCTGGGATTCTCTATTTTGGGCGGAAATTGACGAGGGTTCGTTTCTGAAACCCAGGCACGGCACTGGAGAGGTTAGGTAAACGCTGAAAACTTTCGGGGGCTAACCCGCGGGTTATCTGTTTCCGCAAACGCGATATTAGCTAATCTAATTCGTATGATGTCAAGCAAATCCTACATCTCTAAATTATAGCTTATCTATAAGGGCCTCTCTCCCGACTTGCAAAGGTCCCATCTTTGCTAGCAATGGAAAAATGCAAGAGTTTGTCAAGTATTGGTTAGTTTGACGCCCAGGGTTTTGTTTACCTTGCACCACATGTGAATGAAATTATCGAAAAATTGGACCAAAGCAATTATCCGACCTAAATAAAATTTAGACAAAAAATTGGTTTGACAGAATTGGTGCAACTTTGAGTTCTAATATGCCAACATCTTTCCTATAATCTCTAAAATGAATTTAATTTGCCCAATCTACGCACCGGGAGGCCAAAGTGAAGTGAAAAAAGAAAATTATGACTGAAGCCACTACGATTATAATGCACATTTTTCTAATTTCGTGTGGACAGATGGACAATATGTAATCAAATTGAACGAGTGTAAATTATTATTGACATTTTAAATATAATGCCGATATTTTAGCAGCAAATTGATATACGTTTTACCAAAAGAACAAAGAATAGTGGCAAATTTACTGAAAATATTCTCAATGATGCAATTATCTGCAGTTTTTATTTGTTTTGCTGATATTATAGAAATATATTAGAAACGAGAAATCGACATGCGCTTTTCCATAGTGTGTTAGACCCTTGTTTGGCTACATTTTGTTGCAATGAAAGTGATATCGTAAATTTTGTTGAGATCATACATTTTACTTGTAGTGATATCTCACTACGCCTTCGAGCAGCGATACAGGGCTGCGTTGGTAGACCAAGAAGAGTCCTTTTCGATAAAATGCGTTCAGCTATTCGGAGATTGACACTGACATTTATTTTCGAAAATGTTCGAACACAGTTCATGACTTTCGCTAAAGAGATATATCGAAAACCACTTAACTTAAAAAATAGGATTACGTCACCTGGCGACAATTTTAAATATTTAAAAATGATGCACAGCTTTTTCACCCGAAGTCTTTGCCTCAATTGCTGTTCGAAATAGGGCAGCGTGCCTTCTCATTTTGCCACCCAGTATATTTCTTATAATTAAATTTAGAAAAAATAAAAGTAATTTTAAAAGAATCTTAAAAATTGAAGATTACCGACATAAATTAAATTCCAAATGGACACGCGTTTAGAAAAAATAATAAAAAAATTTAGAAAAAATAAAAGCAATTTTAAAAGAATCTTGAGA